GATCTAGGGGGCGGGCGGGTTAAGGGCACACACACACACACACACACACACACACACACACACACACACACACACACACACACACACACAATTATGTTGGTTATTTAGTAGAAAATAATTAAACTTTCTCAAACTTGTATTCGCCTGGCTACGCATCTTGTGCAAGGCATGTCATGTAATCACAATTATATTACTGACAATTTCCATTTTAAACACTTATGTTTGTTATGTTATGATATAACTGATAATAATAATTATTATTATAATGACTATTCATTTTGTGCACAGATACCACAGCACAGCGATATATTATTTTATTACAAAAGCTTATGATTAACTCGATGTACGTGTAAATACGCTCATAATGAATACCCGCGATAGTATGATAAAAGTTATGTTCATCTGCTTTACACGCAGCACGTCTATCGATTATACTTGCAGGTATAAATAAACATGTGGCCGAAAGCAGACGATATGCATTACATGCCAGCATTAAGTTCAACATTCTTTGAGTTTATGCCAATCAACGAAGCACACAAGGACAAGCCCAAAACATATTTCTTAGACCAGGTGAGATCATTATTTACCTAAGCGTCGTATATCCTTTCAGTGATTTTAATTACTACTAAACGTAAACTTTCGCAACGCGGTATGGTCAAGAATGCAGATGTTTAAGATTAGAGTCGTCCACCTGAATACGAATACTGCTCCTCTGATGCCCCGAATATACTTGAGGGGGTGTTATATGTGCTCACTATGCTGGTTCAAAAGCTCGATCGTCTGATCATGGCTATGTGCACCGTAGGTAAAAGTTGGGGAAATATACGAGCTAATCATTACATCCTCGCGAGGTCTCTACCGCTACAAGCTAGGCGGCGTTGTTAAGGTGGTTGGTTTCATCAACGCTTGCTTCAAGTTAGAGTTTGCATACAGGTGAGTGGGCAATCATTTGCAATGATATACGGTGACACTCGGTCTGTCTGCCTGGCGTGATTGACGGGCAGTTCTAGCCAATTATTGTTGCGGTATGACGTTCTATTAGCCTACTGTATTACGCTGTATAATTCACGGTGATTTAATTTTCGCGAATTTCGCGAACGCGTCCCCCAACTGCGAAAATGACAACACGCGAATAATTCATACCGAATAATACCGAATAATTCATAATTCACCGATCGCGATATTAACCACTCGCGAAATTGTCCGTCAAGTCTGAATTCGCGAAAATATCTGTACGAGAAAAATATGGCGTATACAGTATTATAGCAACATTGCTAATTTGCTGTGCACGCGTGAAACACGTGTAAAAACTAGCCTAGCTCGACCGAGTATAGCGACAGTATCCAAAGAAGGCGTTGTTATTTCGTTCAAACGGATTGGTCAATCACGGTTCGTGGTTAGAAGATACATCACATACGATGCCGCTGCTTGATTTTAATTCGATGTAACTACAAATACAGTAACTTGGCGCACCCCGGGGGACGGCGTATCGCAGTTTGACATACAAAAAACGCTCTCAATAGCGCCAATCCGGCGGAGAAAAATGAAATGAAATCTCTCGAACTAGACAGTCAGCATATGCTGCCGTGATTTGACCGTAAATGTTAAAAAAGAACACTAAAATGGTTTAGCAGTTTGCTCTGTACATATTAACGATAATGTTTTTGCCTAGTATACAACAAATAGTGTTATCGATAAACTGTAACATTAACTATATATATCCACCCTTTTATGTTATTTTTTACAACTTAGTTGACGATTATAGCCATCGAAATAATCGTATAAATTCTAAGGTATGTTATTATCCAGGGTTTCTGACACCTTGAATCTTGTTGGAGAGCGTTTGTGCGAGCAGGATTTGTTGGCCGCGTTACGCGAATACACTTCACTTTACTGGGATGGCGTCACCATTACGAACTATGCCTGCTGCAGCAATAGCCACTTGCAGAGACTGCGAAGTACTTTTCTCTGAATATTATTAAGAGCTAATAATACAATGTATACAATGTACAATGCATAATACAAGCTAATAATTAAGCTAATCATAGAAATCGCAGCCCAATAACCAATAACCAATAGTTATTGAGCTGCGATTTCTATAAAGCTAATAAGCTAATAATACAATGTATACAATGTACAATGCATAATACAAGCTAATAAGCTAATAATACAATGTATACAATAATATTGATATATATCTTGATATTATATAAAACACGACTGTGGATCATGGATTAGCCTCATAGAATATTATAATTTATATATGAAATATCATTGTATATTATTATATAGTTATGAATAGATTTTTGATTATTTTTAATCAGTATGAGAGAAATATTTCATTGCATATGCTTAATCATCGTTACCTCATGCTACACCGGTATAGCTAGATAGTAGCTACAGCCTATAAAAAATATAACGGCCCACGTCATCTCTGCCTTCCTTTATAGATGAGAAGCCGTCCGAGTGTCCGTACTATATGTTGTGATTATAGAGTTGGACGCAGTCAACAACAATCTGATGTCGGAGGAGCAGGAATCAAAGGTAGACAGACAGAAGGACAGACATACAAACAGATAGACAAACAGATGAAAGACAGACAGGCAGACAGACAGACGGAGAGACAGGCAGACACACAGACGGACGGAGGGACGGACGGACGGACGGACAGACAGACAGACACCAGTCAAACACTGGCGTACAGACAGACAGGCAGGCGGACAGGAAAGCGGACAGACGGACAGACAGACGGACAGACGGACAGACAGACAGACAGACAGACAGACAGACAGACAGACGGACAGATAGACCGACAGCCAGCCAGACAGACAGACAGACAAACAGATAAAGAGGCAGACGGACACACAGGCAGGCAGACAGACAGACAGACAGACAGCCAGGCGGTCAGGCAGGCAGGAAGGCAGACAGGTAGGCAGACACACACGCGGCCAGACAGACAGACAAAAAGCCAATCAGGCAACCAGACAGCCAGATAGACAGATGGCTAGGGTCGACTCAATAATATATATATATATATATATATATATATATA